GTTGCCCACTATGTGTCAAGTGCCAGGCGTGCCATACCTCCCAAAAAGTGCAGCATTCCTCTGCATCACATTTACTGCCTATGGACCAATTTCTGTAATTCTCCCTGCAGTTGGAATGGCAGGTTATTGTGATTAAGGGATTCTTCTTAAAACTCAAATTATGCAGCAGCATAACCTTTACCTATCTTCTATTGCTCCAGTTCACTTGGGCACTCATTTCAGCCCAAAAGATATATTCCTTGTTTTGTCTCATGAATATCTCTATGCCCACGTACAAAACATGCATTCATGCATGCATCCATGCCCATTCTTAGCAGTTGTATCGTTACTACTGGTTCCCTTTTAAAGAAAACCCTATTCTGCAAATATAACTAGAATCACTGTGTATGTATAATTCATCCCATACCTCTTACTTCTGCTGGCAATAATTACTTGTGGTCTGAGAACTTTTTATTTTACGTTTTCATCCAGGTCAGTACTTTTTGAGGTTTTTTGAAGTCTCCAAAGAGAAACATGGGGCTACTCTAAGATGTTGAAGGACTTTATCTTCTGCTCCACAGAACCATCTGTGTTAAACTTTAGGTTTGTTTTGCTCAGTGTATCTGACATATGACTTCATTAATAAAAGATTTAGGGTAGCTGACAATATGCTCGACAATCACTTCTATATGACAGAGTCCAATACATGGTGATAAAGCTACACGTTCATTTTGTGGCAGAAGTTAAGCAGATAAAATTGCCCCATAACATAAGAGCACAGCTGGGTTTGTGTTTTCACAAACCTCTTTTCTATATTTTAGCCAACAAATGCTCTGGTGTTGCGATTCTACACTTCCTACGCTTCCTTTGAGCATTCATCTTGCAGCTGATACTGCTCTACACAACTGCAGGATTTCAAGAATGGTGTCTTTTTCATCATTTTCTCTACTTGTTGGGCTTCCTAAATGTTTATCAATGAGCATTGTCTCAAGGATTCAGTGTCTTCAGAATCTGAAGACATATTTCCCATCTGTCAGTTTATAAGGTGTCACATTAATAAGTGAAGACAGAACAAGCTCATAGAAAAAAAGAAATCTACTGAGGACTTCTCAATAGTTAGGTAGACACTTGATCTGACAGACCAAAACAGCCCAGTTCTTTCGGTTTCTTGTACCTCAAAGACAGGGTTGAGGTCAGTTACTATAAATCCCTCCTCACCATGAAGTGTCTAATTGCTTTCATATTCATGAAATGTACAAATGTGTCCATATACAGTGAAATACAAAGTTCAGTGTGTGGAAGAGCATTACGCAGAGGGTCCACGTTGCCCTATTACACTGGAAAGAGCTTTTTTGTTTTCTTAATAGTTTAACAGTTCATGGAGGCACATGTAAGTATAGCTGCAAGCTTGAGAAAAATGCATTAATATCTCTGAAGAAATAGAGTCCACAGTCCATAGGAAGCAATACTGTAAAATCAGAGAACAATGTATCATTTGCTGAAGGAGAAAGCAGAATTGAATTTGAATCCACCAGAGGAATGCTCAGAATGAGAGTATACAGAGAACGCTTCCTCAGCTTGCAGGACTCTCTTGTGGAGACAATCTGAGGATAATGGAAGTGCAAAGGTAATGAAGAGTTAAGTACATTAAGTGTCAATAGCTAGTCATCTAGATAAAGCAATGGTAGAAATAAATGCTTTCATATTTAGATTAAATATAGATGTCTTTCTCCAGCATCCTTTCATATTTTTATAGCAGTTATCCATTTTGTTAATAAATGATTTAGCATGCTTTTGCTTTAAATTGGCTTGAATTAAAGATGATATATAGATTACCAACTAACAGTTCATTTTTTCCTGTGTGATTCTTAAAAAAAATGAGGTAATAGTAATACATAGAATACTGAGAATCCTAAGACATTCTCCAAAATATCTAAATATTATCAGGGTATACTTCTATGGTGCTATGTGAACCAGATCAGGAGCTGGTAATGTGGTAGTCTTTGTGGAAATACTATATTCCAGTAACGAGCGTGAGGTAGTCTAAATTCCACAGCACTGGGTGGTAAGAAAAGTGTCTGAACTCTTAAGGGTACCACTGGAGTTTGAAACACCATCCATAAACATTAGAGATACTCCTTTCTCTCTTTCCTTAGGGTCTATCCGGGCTTCTTCAGAAGACGGTACAGGTCTAATGAAGAGGATGTTGCAGCTTTAGGTCATTAATCTCAATATTATTCTCAGTATTATCAACATTATCAATGCAAAAAGGCCACAGAAATGCCTGCCCCCATTTATTATGGAATATCTTTGCAATTAGAAAAATTACCAACATTTTTAACCTCTAATACCATTTATCTAAGGCATGACATGTAAGTGTATGAACCAGACACCTAATAATACATTCTGACATTGCAAATGGTCAATATGGTACAAGAGTTTGATGAAGGATGTGATGCATATTTAAAGAAGAAAAAGTGACTGCTAATTATTGCTAGTGCTGTTTTAAAAAAAGTAGAATTTTTAAGTATTTGCCATAAAATAGAATTTAAAATATGTAATATTTTGTAAATTTTAATAAAATCTACAACATTTTATTTTGGATCTGAAATGTTTAGAATCAAAATTTATGAGACTGAAACAGAAAATCTCCCTAGCAGTAATTTGAAAGAAAAGGTGCAGTGGTCCAAACTTTGGAGGGACCATTCTTCCAGAGACTATTGAAAAACATCCAACTGAACAAGTGAAAAGGAGGTTATATTGTATATAATGCCCTTATGAACCTGTTTTTTCTCTAGTTCCTTGAATCATTTCATGATCCATATTGACTCGTAAGATTCTTATGGGACTTGCAGACCTTACTTCCTCATATTTTTAAGGAGAAAAAAGAAAGTAAAATCACTAACAGGGACACAAGCAAAAGTACTTAAGTTGGTGCCAGTGTATTAACTGTACACTCTAGTTTACACTATCTGCTCATTTAAGCACAGGAGGATACAGAATAAGGTCAGGGGAATCATCCTGTATGCATCCCCAAAGATATCTGATATATCCAATGACAACAGAGCCCTGTTTATTCAAAATGCTTTTGGAACATCAAAACATTTGGATAAATAGGCCTTCAAATAATTGAGGGAGTTATTGTATAAGTAATTCACACCAGGGGGACATAACCTAGATTCAAAGGACTGAGTTTCAGATCAAAGGGGTACAGATAAGTGGGATTTTACTCTATATGAACAAATGAAATAATCAGCATTTCATTATTCATGAAGCAAGAACTGTCTAAATATTCTTCAAAAAGTGTTTAGGACGAAAGGTCAAAGTGGTCACAATGGGCCAAACATCAGAATACTCATGGAATCAAAATAACAAATAGCTACACGAGACCCAAAAGAGTATTTTAAATTCACTGATCTTCTAGTCAAAACTTTACCAAGATTTTTGCTCTTATTCCAACCCTGTCCTTATCCCAACTAAGATATCGATATTTTGTGGTGGAAGGTAGGAATTAGTAACGTGTATGATAATGACTCATTTTTCCCAAAACGTAATGGAAGTGAACTGTGGAAAACACCGTTTGGGTCTTATAGTGACAATACCGTTCGCTTGCTCATCTATCCCTTAAAATCATAAGCCACATATGGTTCATCTACATACAGACTTCATATTCTCATACAAAATACCCTTCAAAATGCAAATCTGGAAATTTAAAAATATTGAAGTGTAGTAATCTACACTGACATTCACCCACCACACTGTTAATGCAGCTGTGAGGTAATCTGCTTATTCGGAGGAATAAAGAGGCTTTTTCACTTTCTGAAAATTACACCTGTGGCCTTATAATTCAGAATTGCCCCTTACTCTTTTGTATAATAAACTTTTAGTAGTAGGTTCAGTAGAGAAAAATAAAGATTTGCCATTTAAGCGAAAGAGAGATAAATGACTAAAAATTGACATGTCTTGACTTCCATCAGCATTGCTGTGCTGAGTTACACGACCTAAGAGTCTTCCCAGCACCACATTTCTCCTGCCATTATGTCTCATGTTGGATAATTTTGCGCCAATTGAGAGGAAATTACCATGTTTTGAGGGACAGTGTGCATGGAAGTGGAGCCCTTTTCAGCTTAGCCTTCTGGTTTATGTTTCAGAAAGGCATTGAAAAGTTTTGAATGAGCAACGGGACACTCCAGGAGCCCTGTCGAAGTGGTCCTGATGTTTCTTTGGTCCTTTGAATTGGGGGTTGCATGCTGGGGTCGATCAGTGCTACAGGGATCTCAGTGTGCTCTGCACTGAAACTGGGGAAGGATCCCTGGGCACCGAGGGCTGTGGGAACACCGGGGCTGGCTGCACCGCCACCCGCCAAGCCTACAGCCGTTGAAGCAACAGCCACTGCAAGCGCGTGCCACCAAGTGCTGAGGCAACAGCCGTTGCACGCGCGCGCACGCGCGCAGCCAATCGCTGAGGCAACGGCCGTTACACGCGCGCGCGCAGCCAAGCGCTGAGGCAACGGCCGTTACACGCGCGCGC